TCGTGGTAAAGAAAACTAACAACGCAAACTAGACGTATCTATCTTAACCCAGTAAAATGTGGCATTCAATTAAAATCTTTGGAAATCTGAAAGATCCTTCTAAGGATTTCAATTTAATGCCTTAAGATAGAGACCTCTCATGTTAGTTTTCTTTTATCACGACCTTCAAAATGAGGGGTCACTCGATGGGTCTTACCGTTTGAATTTTTGGCAGGTCCAAATTTAGGGTACCAACTTTTTTGGGGTCGTTTTAATGTCCAAATTCACCAACTTTCTACCTTTAGCAGGTACGATATTTCTCCCGGCGGGCGGGGAAGGAATTCCCTCCGAATAGTTTGCCATCGCCTGCTCCGTCTCGTCTCGGCGAGAGTGTACTGTAACCTAACCTAACCTAACTTAACCTAACCTAACCTAAACAAACCTAACCTACTAACCTAACCTAACCTAACCTAAAGCTGCCTGAAACAATCACAGCTTAAACAGTACTATTAGGGCTAAGCAGTACACTCTCGCCGAGACGAGACGGAGCAGGCGAGGGCAAACTATTCGGAATTCCTTCCCCTCCCGCCGGAAGAAATATCGTGCCTGCTCCAGGTAGAAAGTTGGTGAATTTGGACATTAGAAACGACCCCAAAAATGTTGGTGAATTTGGACGTAGCCGAATTTTTTGAGTTTTCACCAAAATCCCCCATTTTGGGGATGTACACAAAGTGGCGGTTATGCCCAAAAAGAACTTCATAACATGCCATAAAGGTGCGGAGAGTTTAGTTTTTCTAGTTTGTGCCGTTAAAAAATTACATGGGGCCTCCAGACTTTTTATTAACCCTGTATTACTAAATCAACACCATTCTTACCCAATCAAACTGAGTGAACAGCTTATTGTAAACTGTAGTATCTTGTTTGGCATATTAACTATCACAGTATTGAAAACTAATTAATAGTTTCACTGTAGCACGTGAGTACCTAGCTCTACTTGAATATCAACATTAGCTGGTCAAGGTATATGGGATGTCAATTTAGTATCAAAAAGTCGATGTAAAACTAACACAGTTTAAATTTCAGTAAAACATTTTACTTTAGATTAACCCTTAAAATATTATGAGTTCTTATTATATACTTTTAAAACTGACTTTAAACATTTTAGGTAAACACACATTGTTTTGCTCTAGTAAGACTCTTATAATAACTGTTCAAACTTCTCTTGAGTACTATAACTTGAAATGTTCACCTTAGAAAATAAAATTAATGCAAGTAGTTCCGGTCCCTACTATGTTTGTACGTCTCCTAAAACCATCCACGAAAGTCAGCACAACTCCTTATTTCGTTATTTTTCACAACGTCTGAGCCTAAACGACTAAGGAATGCTCTCCAGAGTCGAGGAGGAAATATCTTGAAACACATCAATCTCCGTATCAGATGGGCCTACGAGGCGCCGCGGCCCAAGTGAGTCAGATTTTATCATCTCTACATTTCAATAACATTTCTGTCCAGAAAAAAAACCTTTTCAATTACGTATTTTAATTAACATTTTGTCTATGCCATGTGATGATTCGTGCACGGAATATGTACCTTGTTTATTTATCTGTAAAACATTATTGATTACATAAAACACAATTCCAGAGGCTTTTACAAGGCCTCGAGTAGTTAATTTGGCTCATACGGTTATACAATTACAATCCTTAATTCAGTAAACTAAAATAGATGTAATAGTTTTTGGTGGTTCCTATATGTTTTATAGTTGTCAAATTATAATACTTTTATAAGTTTTAAAATTTACACCACATAGGCTATAATTTACTCTGGATTTGTCTATTAAATGATTTGCCAAAACGTGGCATAAGAATCTAAATAATAATAAGTAAATTTATCAATTTGAATTCACGTCTTTTCTTCCCCTGTACCGTTGGAATGACGTAACAAGACATCAGTTATGTGAAAACAGAACTCAACGTGATTGCAGCGTCAAGTTTCATAATTGAAATTGAAAGACTTGTGGCGCAAAATTCTAGGGGAAGGAATAAACTAGTATTCACATAAGTCAGGCTAGGCCTACCCCTAGAACCGGCCAAACTCAAATTTCTTCCCCGGAGTGCTCAGAAGGAGCCGAGAAAAATCCAGGGGTCGATACGAAGTTGGCACGGCTTTGACTGGTCAATTTATTGAAATTTTAATCGAAGGCTCAGAGCTCAGGAAACGTTCAGGAAATCCTGCAGACGCTCAGTTGGAGCTATATATCATCCTTAGCTTCGTTAAAGTGTTTTGTTAAATTTTGCCTAACCTTTGGAATGACTCTGTAGGGCCGACGAGTATGCAATCTTAGCCAATGTTATGTAAATCGTATTAAAATGCAACTAATTAGTTAAAGACGTTGGTAATCGATCTAATATCGAATGTAAGGTAAAACAATTCCTACAGAGTCGCCGGGGCCTAATTAATATAACTGAACGGATAATTTATCGTGATATGGTTTAAAATAAATTTAGTATTAATTTTCGTAGCTGATTATTCAACTCAGCTGCTCCCAAGACTTGATTCTTTCACCCGCCAAAGACGGGGTTTAGAACTCAGACGACAAGTCTCGGGGTATTAAACGACGAATTGTCTAGAATAATTTAAGTAAACTAACAGAATAAACGTAATTTCGTAGCAAATTAATTTAACCGAACCGAAAGATATCCACCGCTAGTCACTGGCAGGCAGGAACTGGCGGGTCAAGACTCAAGTTAAGTTATTAAATTTAGACAATTCGAATCGGGACTTTAATAAAGCGAATATGAATAATAGATTAAGAATTGCGTGAAATGAAAATAACGTAAAACGTGACAAGGTCCTAACTAAATATGCTAGCAAACCTTCGTAACAAAATCGTACAGTCGTGTCGATTATCGTACGAGCGTACATGTAACGTCGAAGTTACTTCGAAGACGACGTGACGTACGAACGAATAATCCTGTCTTGGCTTGGACTTGGAGTAAAATAAAATCCTTCGTTCCTTTCCTGCCCGCTCGAGGCTTACGCGCTCAAGCGGCGAACTCAAGTACTACTAGACATCAGCTGATCGCGATCGCTCGCAATTCGCAACTTCACTTGTTGTTGTGTTGTTGTGTTGAGCTGGTCTAGTTTGGTATTTACTCAGGGGAGGTATAGAAGAGGCTACGATGACAGCTGTGGGCTTCTTATTAGCTGAGAGAACGCCATTACCGTAACAAAACGGCCAGTAACCATCGGTCTCGGTGGTCTAATGGTTAGCGTGCCGGGCTGATATACTGTAGGTCCCGGGTTCGAATCCTACTGGTAGCGTTAACTTTTTGTCCAAGATTTTTTTATTATCAGCAAGTTTGGTTGGTTTGGTTCGGTTATTACAGTTTCATTTTAAGTCATTATAAAATTTTAATTGAGCAAATTCTAGTTTTATTTAATAACCAGAATTATTTTTCCGATTACTAAACTTTTGTTATATTATTTCTTTATCAGCAAGTTTGGTTAGTTCGGTTAGGTTATGATAGTTTAATTTTATAATTAAAAAATAATAAAATTAAATTTGAGACATTTATAATTTTATTTTATGAACAGAACTATTTTTGCGATTAGTAAACCTTCGTCATTGCCAAAATGCTCTATACTACAGCGCTGTTCACGGAGGAATTTTGAACTAAATGCCTCATTCGTACCTCCCCTAAGTCAGACCCGTCTAGTTTCGTCTGTCGTCTGTCAACAAATAAACACCAGTTTGGGGTTATGTCGTCGGCGGCGTTAAATATCCTGTAAAATCGGCCGGTTTAACTTTATTATGACAAACGAAGTGCTATTATGAATAAATATGTAGTTGTGGATGTGTTTGTGTACTTCACTGTGAATAAAAATAGGCCTACGTTCTTTGGCCCATAGCCCAAGCTATGGCCAACACATAGGCCTAGGAGTAGGCTATTGTGGTAAAAAATCGGGTAAGTTCTAATGTTCATTTATTCGTAGTACGTTTTTAACCCCCTTAAAATTTTGCACCTTACAGACTGAAATAGAAAAACGTTGGTAAGCGTTTTATTTATTTATTTGCCAACGGATTTACACCAATTTTACAGTAAATTGCTCATTATGACTAGATAATCCATAATAATAACAATGAAAGAAGTGTCAAATGTAACAATAATAAGAGTAAGTACATGTGAAAAACTTGGACAAAGAAAGAACTGAGTAACGATAAGCAAATACATAGTTGAATGAATAACGAAGATATGTATACAATAAATGGCACATGTACTAACCTAGAAAACAATAAATAATATAAATAACAATGAAATAACAATAACATGATAAATATTTTAGTGAGAACAATAAACAATGCAAATAACAATGAAATAAAAATGAACAATATAAATAACAATGAAATAACAATAAACAGATAGGTACATAAATTTGTTCGCGTTACGTCTCTACGCGATCGTTTCAAACCTTAATTTATTGGTGCATACGCCTTGATGAAAAAAGCATTCGTTTGGGTTTGAAGCGTGCATTGCCAGACTATGTTATCAGTAGAACTATTCTGAGTAGTTTACAAAAACAAACATAACTCTTTATAGGCACGTCGATTGATAGGTAATTTTAGGTGGTGCCCTAGTGATGCAAATACTATTGGTAGTAGTGTGGGTAGTAGTTATTTCTATATTTGAGTTTAAAAAATCAGCTGAAGTCGGAAGCATCCGCTGTTTCATAACTTGCGAACTGATACGCTAATTTTGCTGATGAAAATAGTTCTTGGTAAACAGGCCAAAAGTGGATTTTCGCTCGACGCTCATTTTCCGACCTCGGTCGGACGTTACACTTAAGTTTGTAGTCACGAGTTACTTAAGGCCTTGTGATTAATAATACTATACCTGACACAACTAACCAGCCATGTATATTATTATTGATACCAAATAATTGATATTATTATTGATAGTATGCATTCAGTACCAATTTGCTCGTTTTGTTAGTAGGTAACGAAGGAAATGTCCATGTTGTAGGTTGGGTGGGAGCTATGTCTACTGCAGTAGCTCTGCTGGTGTCACCGGTCACCATAGCCTTCTGTCGCCGCAAGTCCACTCGGCTCACAGCAGTAATGGGAGGGCTGGTCACTGCACTGGGATGTCTCTTCACATCCTTTGCCTCTCAGTTCCATCAACTCTTCTTCAGCTACGGCACTATCGTTGGTACGTCAACCTACTATTGCAATTGTTAAAAGTGTTTTACCGGATTAGCTAAATTGAATTGGGTGCCCTTTCAGTCCTTGGGTGTTTAATCGATGATCCCGACCAAAGACCACCAGACGTAATCTGAAATCCCACTCATACAACTCACTTGTGCCTTTAAATACTCGGTTAAATCATGATTGATTTGTAGCAAACGGATTGATGTTTAAATTAATAATTACAACTTACGTCAATCAATCCAGTATATCTATGGAGGACGCACGTTTTGACCTTTAGGTCATCTTCTGCTCCGCTGTTGCACTAGGTTAACAATGCAACTAAGTATGGAATAACCTAGTGCAACAGCGGAGCAGAAGATGACCTAAAGGTCAAAACGTGCGTCTTCCATAGATATACTGGATTGAGAGTCGCAAAATCTTATTCTGAGAAAGGTCAGTAGCTATTTTATAGCCTAGTTCAAAGATTGACTCAACGGGTCTTAGTCAGTTTTAAAGCTACACAAATGTATTATTGATTATACAATCGCGTTAGTCTAAAATTTGCACCGTAAACTCAAAGTAATGATAACGATACCTGGGTAAAGTCTGTAGAGTGTTAACAAAACTGAAACATATCCAAATCCAGGTAGGAATACCGAGTGTCGAGAAAGCAACGATTCCACTTTAAAGCCAAATAGTTTACAAAGTTTTCTGTACATTATAAAAGTTTGATTTGAACTACGTTTCTTGCTCGACATAGATCAAATGATCAAATCGAAAATCTCTTCCCACATTTTTGACAACATTACTGGAGTCACAGACCCCACAGCCTGGACCACTCTCTCTGCCTAGGTGAACGACATCCCTGATTTTCTCGAAGAAAACTAGTTTTCAAAACCTAAAAGAAACTGACGTCTTGGACTATGTGAACACGAAATGCGGATTTCTTTTACATAGTCTCTGATAAATAAATCTTTAACATAAATCTCTATTTTGAACGTATGACCATGGTAGGTTTGTCGTAGGGGCTTGTGCGCATGGCGGTCGCTGACTTGTATGAATGTATGTGTGTGTAAGTATTTTTAAAATTTACAGATTTTTGATAAAAGTTTCTGTATCTATGATTTCTGTTTTGTGTTATTGTATAAGCTGATTCTGTTAAAATATTTATATTATAATATATATTTATATTTTAAATTACAGGTTAAGTGTAAGAAAAGGCCATGTCGCCCTAACTTTGCTTGTGTAAATAAATGATTTTTCATTTCATTTCATAGTCTTCGGAAACCAACGGCCTTCCTGTTGCACAAAAACGTTAATTGCTCTAAAACAAAACTTGGAGTGATATTCTTCACGAAAAATTATTATCAGTGTTCTCCGTCCAAAGTTTGTAGTGGCAGGGACTTCACCAAATGGGTGCATTACTTTTTGAACACCATGCATTTCTAAAACATTGTGTCTTCTTAATCAAATGATATGATTACAAAACGCGTGTTTACTATCAACAGTTACAAAACATCGACACTTTCCGGCCTTGTTTGAACAATCAATCCACATCGTACGACAGCAACAGCACTAAATGTGTTTCACACCGGCCGTTACAAGCGAAGAGTGCAGGCATGCATGTTAAACAAGTCTACTATAGAAAGCCGGGTTGACTGGACATTAGCCCGTTACGTTCTTAGTGAAGCTTTGCCCTGAATACAAGAGAACTTTAAATGTGCCTCGCATTAGACCTATTGACTTTCGCCTCTGCCGTAATAGTTTTGTCGTGTAATTAGTGCCTTTGCTGGAGATCCAGTTTGGTCTTAATCACTTTGAGTTAATCAATATTATTTATTGTTTGATTTGCATAAATTAGTAAAATATGATTATTAATTAATTTTTTAAAACATTTTATGATCTCTTGGACATTTTAAATTTTAAGAATTTGATAACACTTGCATGGCATTAGGTTTTTATGGTAGATATTACTTTACATTAAAGCATATGTAGCACATTTTTTTTTATCTACAGTAATGAAACACTCTTAGAATGGGTCACTCACAGATAGTGCTACTTCACATTAATATTTTCTTCCTTGGTTTTTTACATATTCGATAACTACGAGTAGTTTGGCATAAAATATGTTATAGTTTACTATAGCTGTACTTTTAGGCTGGTTTTATTAAAACTTAGCATATAGACTACGAGTGGAATTAGTAATTAATTGATTACAGGGCCGTCTGTCCGGGGTTCAATTCAACTAGGTCTATTTTCATTATACAAATTTCCTAAAACTTGAACCTGGTATTCCCCACAGTTAGAGATTGTAGTGAATTCCACACATTATTTTAACACACAATAAATCATATGTATTTCACTTAGGCTAGAGGTGTTTCTCTGGTAAAACACCACCGTAGTATGAAGCTCTAGGTCTATATTTAACCTCATTAATTACACGTCTATGCTTGGATAAAACAATATTACTAAACCATGGGATGGAATAAGTATTCATACTTATCCTTTGCTCATATAGTTGAATTATTTGTATTAAAATACTCACCTAAAGTGGCGTCCCATCTCAATTGATGATTATAATGATACTTATCCTTTTGTTGATAATTTCAGCTGGGATACTTAAGATAAATCAAAATATTCAATTCATGAATAGAAATGTTTAGTGGTATGTTACCAACTATACGTGATAAACTGCATCGTCATGCTGTAGGTGTCGGAGTGAGCATGACCAGGGACTGTTCTACGCTGATGGTTGCTCAGTACTTCAAGAGGAGAAGGGAGTTTGTGGAGATATTCATCGTGTCAGGCAGCGGGCTCGGGATCGCAGTCATGTCTTCCTTCATCAAAGGGGCTATGAAGTATGTAAATGGAAATTTATTTAATTTATAAAAATATGTCTTCAAGCTGTTCAGCAGGTGAACAGGTTTGACTAAAATTTAAGAATTAAGGTAAAACATCTGTAATTTAAATCAATTGATTTTATTGCTACACTAAGGTATGTTGTTAGATTTCTTTTTGGGCTATTGGCATAAAATATAAGTACGTTTAAAAGTAAGTAGATCTACACTTTTAATAATAAGTTTATCTTTTCAAATTCACATCATAGAGTTACGGTAGTTTTAAGCGCACATAAGGGCCACATATATATAGAAATGGTTGCCTAGAGCATTTAAGCCCAATATTTAATATAAAAAACAAATCTTACAACACTAAGTGGTAAATTTAATTCATGTTTAGTAAAATGAAAAATGTATGTTTAACTATTTCATGCAGCAGATCGAGTGAACAGCATTTTGTTCCCTTCTGCACTCTTCCCATTGCAAAGAAGGGGTATAGCAGCTTGTTGTATTTTTTAACGGATTGGTGGTAGAAAATGTCTGCAATAGTCATTTGAAACAACGATTAAGTTTTAGAGGCTTAATCGTTTACTCGTACTTTTTATTAATAGGTGTATTCTATTTGCTATACTGTCAATAATATCCAAAAAAGTATTATTTTTCAATTGAAGGTCTTCTTATCAATCCCTGAAATATCTTTTTTTTCTTTTGTTATAAACCTTTGACAGTCAAAGATTAAGTAACAGCTGTCTCTTCCTCCTCACCACATAACCTTGTATTTTTCTGGTTGCAGTGCCATCGGCTGGAGGTTGGGTCTGCAGTTGGTCACCGTCACAGTTTTCCTCACCTTCTTCCTGGGCACCTTCTACAGGTCTGCCTCTCTCTATCACCCTCAGCGCCGCGCCATCCTGCATCTAAAAAACCAAAAACGTAAAATCAAAGACAAGAACAAAACAGACGACCGACCTCCATTCTTCGACTTCAGCACTCTCCGGAGCAAGACAGTTAGGATACTGCTTGTCTCAACTGGTATCAGCGCATTTGGAATCAACACACCGATATTCTATCTGGTTGGTTATAGCTGTGTATTATTTTAATAATATACAAAAGATGTATGGTACCTACCAAACATTGTGGAAGAAAGTAACCTATTATATTTATATTTTATTCTCCCAGAACAAAACGATTCATAAAAATTATTTCTTAAAATCTTTTATACTACCCATTTTGTTTTCTGATCATTTATAACTCTAAAGAAAATATTTAAATATTTTTCATGAATATGGGTACTAAGGAATTTAACGCTCAAGTCTTTCCCTCAAAGACTAATATTTTATTGAAAAGCCTAAAGTTGTACTAAATTATTTATTTATTAGAACTGTTATGGTGGTATAAGATTTACAAGATTAGCTTCATTCATCAAACTATAACACAAAAAACACTTCATACTAAAACAACCTCGTAGTCATGCACTTCTTTTCCATTTCCAAAGGTATTGTCCTACTGAAGTTCCTTATTGGTACAAGAATGAAATACAGGAGTTTGATACTACTTATTCATGAGGTTATTTGAACTTGATATTGCAAAATAAGAAAAGTAGTGAAATAGTACACCTTTGGTGTAGTTTACAGTATATTTCATTTACTATGATATTGTCATAAATTAACACATTAAACCTCTGTCTAAGTTCTTTAGATACCACCCATTCATTACTTGCCAACAATCATGCTTGTTTAACACATCCGCAGGCGCACCAAGCAGAAGAGGATGGCCTGGGTGACACAGCCCTCTTGCTGCAGACCTACCTCGGACTCGCCTGGACCCTGGGCTGTTGCGCCTTCGGGGTCGTCGTCGTCCACAACTCTGTCGAGTGTAGGATAGCTCGCCAGTATCTCTGTCAGGTCAGTTGGTTGCTGAAATTCCGATCAACTACTCATGGTCATTCTAGCATTAGCCTATTAGTTTAGGAAATAAGAGTATCAAGAGAATATGTTAAAATAAATATGAAGGGTGATCCATAGGATGAGTTTAGAATGGAATGAGACACATTTTGTTTGGTAGAACTGATCTTTCCTCCTCATCTTAATTTAAATTGAAACACCATATATTTATCATGTAAACTGTGAAAATAAAGTTAATGTGTAGAAATTGCCCTGTTTTGTGGTGATTTGTAATGAATATTTATATATCCATATTTGAGCAATCCAATTAAGCTATCAATGGTATGAAGTGATTGTGGTTGACAATTTTTTTTTCATTATAGATTAAATACTGTAATATTTCGGCAACTAAATAATCTTAGAAAACCAGCAATGATAGTACAGTATAGCCCATTATTATATTATGAATTGCAGGCAGCTGTGTTCATGTGTGGGATCAGTATTCTGGCTCTGACAGCAGTCCATGGCAACAGACAGGGATATATCCTGTTTGTGTGGATCTACGGCATCTTCTGCGGAGGCTACCACTACTCTCTGAAGATGTATACCTACGAGAGAGTGAGGGCGAGGAACTTTGCCAGAACGTGGGGTTTCGTCCAGTGTTCGCAAGCTATCCCTATTGCCATAGGGGTGCCAATATCAGGTACTGTAGGAGATTTGTTGATTTTGTAAAAACAAGGATTTTAAGAAAATTGTCAGAGTGATCAAGTAGACTTGAAAATTGAAATTGAGGGTTACGTTCTGTATTGTGTGTGGATGAAATTTTTATTACCAGTAGTTTTCCTCTAAAATTTTTCATCTAAACCAATCTGTTGCCTTAAGCTTAATACAACAGCTTAAACTATTATAAAATATTTTAATTTGTGTTATAAAGCTCGTCTGATGATAAAAAAAAATGTTTTGAAATTTAAATTGCTACTCGTACTTACCAACTATACTTAAAATTATATGGGTGTAAATTATTTAACATGGGCATTGGCCTAGATGCCTTGGTTTTGAAATAGTTGTTGGGCTAGCTTACTTTAATGGGAAAGAGTTCATCTCTTGAGATGGACTCTAACCTACAGCTGTAGATGAAACATAAAAACTTTACACAGTATGATAAACAGAGTATTTCACTAAGTATTTTTCCCTTGGCCTTAGTAAATATCTCATCCTTACGGATCAGTGGAAGCCGATTTTATTGTTAGTTCTGTCCAGTGCACTGTAGAGTTTGTGTTTTGTTTACAATTTGTTTCTTATTATTTTAGCAATTTAAAAGCTCTTTTTGAACCAATTTAAAACGATCTTATAAAAAAAATAACTCTTCCTTTAGTTATTCATTTCATTTCAACTAGAGACAAAAAACGAGCTACAAAATTTACAATGTGATGAGAAGTCTACTTGTGTTGGTTAATAGTTAGTCTATGGTATTTTCAACCAAGGTAGGTTTTGAATAATGAGTTTTTTTAACAAACTATTTAAAAAAATATTTTAATTGAACATTAGCAATAAAATTATTTTTGTTACATATCATTGTTTGATGTTGGTAAACAAAGTTTGAAGAAAGTAGGACAATGAATTCTGAACATTAGCAAATTCAGGACATAACTATAATACGGAAAGAAGCAACTTAAAATTCAATCAATTACAAAAATGTTACACAAATTAGTTTTTTCTGTCTTGAAACCTGTCATATCTTTTCTCATAACACACTTCTTCATGTTCCTTTCTTCTAACGATCATGTTAATCATGGATGATTTTAGAAACACATATCTTCACCGGTGCTTCCTACTTCTATTTCCTACGTTCTATTCTGTGCAGGTTACATCAACGTGGGCTGTGGTGGCAAGTCTGGCTACTACTTTAGTTCAACCTGTGTCCTGGTGGGAAGTCTCTCCCTATTCTTCATCGACCTCCACCGTCGCTCCCTGGCGCGACACAAGCATGGTGATGGCACCAGGCAGCTCTGTGTCTCTGAGTCTTGTCCTCAACGGCGCCGGCTGTCCTTCGCTGCCGAGCCAGAGGAGCTGGTTGTGGTAAGAGCCTGGTCAAATACATTGGACATACTTCTCTCACTCAATTGGCTATACTACGCAGTTAATAGCTATTTACATTACAAGTGTAGTAAGAGCGTTTTTACATCACGCAGGTGAATGTTGTGCAACGAGCGAATGCGAGTTGCATAATTCACCGAAGTGATGTAAACACGCTCTTGCGTAACGTGTAACTTACAAGATTTTACCTGACCCGACAATATTCAGGAGGTTACGAGCAATATGCTTCATTATCAATTTCACTCATCTTCTAACAGTAACGTTCATTTACAAACAAAAGCTAGGTTAGGAAAATTCTTTAAAGCATAACAATAATATTCAAACACACAGGTTATTTCTATCGTTGAACGTCGTTGGCTCCATAGAGGTATATTTTTTAAGTTATCCACTCAATGTTATTTAAATGGGTTTCATTACATCACCGAGTGAGTTTTTTTTCAACTTTACATCACTCGAGAAGTAAGGAAGTTGTATACATCACGCTTGGGATAGGGAAGTTTAACATGGCGGGTTAGGTAAAACAAATTACAATTGATAGCTTTTTAAGATTTCTCAAATTCTATTCTTCACTCTACAAACTGCACGAATGTTCATATAGGCTACGAATAAATTCATACATTTAAGTTCCAAGTACCTTTACAGGTATAAATACTCCATCCGCAGAAAACCTGCCGACAATTTGCTTGAATTGATTTCCAATTAAATATATTTAATTAACATTAGGTTTAACAAGTACTTAGGCTTGAAGCTGCAGGGAAACTAATAAAGTCTGTTAGTAAAATAATAATTAACACTTAAAGTGCCGTTGACATGTTTGAACATGAAAATTGCATTTATTTCAATGTTAAGCAATGGCGGGAATTCCCGTCATCAGCACCCAACGTGTTAACAGGTTCAGTACCGGCCGTCACACTCTTTGTATGTAGAGTCTCCAGACACACGCGAGTGAGTGTGTTAACAGGTTCAGTACCGGCCGTCACACTCTTTGTATGTAGAGTCTCCAGACACACGGGAGTGAGTGTGTTAACAGGTTCAGTACCGGCCGTCACACTCCTTTGTATGTAAAGTCTATAGACGCACGGAGTGAAAGTGTTAAAGCTCAGTAAAAATAAATAAATGTGCTAATTTTGAACAAAATATAGCCATAAACAAGAAAACTACACATGTATGGTCGCCATTTCATTGAACAGTATTAACAGTATTTTACAGTATTCCACAAAAGAATAACATGGGAATTTAAAATTTAAAATTTTTTAAATTTTCTACACGACTAATAACCGTACAAAAACACTTTGATATGCTAAGTTATTTGTTTTTATAAGCTTAAAAAGGTCTGAAGAGAAATTGGGAAATTTTGAGTTTTGAGGGTCAAAAATGTGATGAACCAACTTTTATCCCATAAAACCCCCAGTAAAACCGTTCCCATGGTCCAATCATGCTAGTTTGTATCTCATTCAAGTTTATCCTGCCCCGCACCTTAAACTAAATTTGATCAAAATCGGACAAAAATTACTCAAGTTAAACCCGTTCACAGACACATTGTATGTATATAAATTTGAACAAATTGTGTTTTTGGCCTCTAGGGACATCAAAATGAAAAGGTAAATTGGTCCTGGGCCTAGATCTTGCCGTGCCACCTATGGTAATAGTTACATCCCTATAGGGAAATTTGCTAATTGGATACAACAGCGGTACAGTATCTAAAAAAAAAAAATCCCATATATGAAGTTCATGACTATTTCTTAAGGAATAAATCATTAAAGATATTAATTATCCATTTTATAGTTTTTATCAACAAAATAGGTATTTTGTTGTGTTTGCAGTTTCTTGTGGTTTGGGTTTGGTTGTTTAATAAACTGTTTATTAAATATAAACTATTTGACCAAGAATAACTGTTATTACTTTGCTTGTCCTAACTCACTGAAATAGGGAGTTAGGACAAACAAAGTATAAAATTTATAAAAAATATTAAAATTCATTAGTACAATGTTGATACAATGTTAGTAACGTTGTATGCAGATGATACCACTGTGCTTTTTAAGGGCTCGTCTTAGGTTGTTTAAGAAAATATGTTTTCTTCAATTACAAATTTGATGTCTGTCTTTTTGTAAACAATCTTCTTTCAAATCAGAATAAAACTTATTATGTCCAATTTATAACACGAAATAAAAATCCACTGCATTTAAAAATACCACAGTCTTCAATAAAATAACTTCCTGAAGTCAAGTTATTAGGCGTTGTTATAGATTCTTAGCTGACGTGGCAGCCAGATATTTAAGATAATTTTGGTTTTTTGAGCAAAGTGAGTTTTGCCTTGGAAACATTAGTTTCTTAGCTTGATCAGAAGAACCTGACCAATGTTTACTACGGAACGGATGCTTTCAGTCTGTTATGTCTTATGGTATAGAGGTTTGGGGAGGTTCTCCACATGCAGAAAAAGCATTTATGTAACAAAAACAAGCTGTTTATATTTTATCTAGTCTCCCACCCTTGCACTTTTGTAGGGAGTTTTTCTAATCTTAATATTCTCACACTTTCTTCTCTAAATGTTCTAAAGTTGGGTCTCTTCCTGCTGTTGGAGATAGACATAGGTATCCCACCAGACATGGCTCAGAGCTTGTTCTTCCACAAATCCGCCTGTCCCTGTCTGAAAGATACACTTTTACAGTGGGTGTAAAGATGTTTAACTGTCTTTCAACCATTGTAAAAGAATGCCAAACCAAAAAAAATATTTAAAAAATGTTTGAAAGCGTACCTTGTAGAGAATGAAACGTATAGTTCAATAGAATTTATGTCTGGCTGAATGTATCTTCATGTTTTTTTTATAGTGTGTATCTTTTTATAAAACGTCATTATTTGACAACTGAGATGTATCATGATTGTGACAAATTGTACCTTTTCAGAAAATAAATAACTGCCTAAATGACTTTTAAAAAATAAGTAGATTTTTTACAATTACCTATCAAATGTTTTTAAAAAGTGTTATAAGGCTTTAAAGATTAGTCAAAAGGAGTCATAAATCCATAACTTGGGATTTAATTGAATTGATGGACTGAAGTTGTGAAACAACTGTTTATACAGGGTGTCCCGGAACTCTCTACCAATATTTTAGGGCATTGTTCCTGGGTAGTCAACATACCTAAATATCATATTTAAATTTTCCGGAAGTCCTTAGTTACTCACACAGCCGCCATTTTGTTTTTTTAAGTTATTAATTTTTTTCTAAGGAATGGTTAAACATACGAAATTAAAACTTTGCACAAACATTTATGACAACTAGACAAAGCTACCCAAAAATTATGACGATTTTTAAGATTCATAAAACAAAATGGCGGCCATTTAAAATTTTGTTTCTTAAATAACTCGAAAACCATTGATTTTACAAAAATTTTACAAGGGTAACTTTTTTAAGACAATTTTATTACAAATCGATTGACACCTTGATTTTGAAGATTGGACAAGTATTAACGGAGATATGGTAGTTTTAGTGATACGTGACCGCTTTCAGCATGCGCTGCAACTAACCTCCAGCGGTTACGTATCACTAAAACTACCATATCTCAGTTAATACTTATCCAATCTTCAAAATTAAGGTGTCAATCGATTTGTAATGAAGTTGTCTTAAAAAGGTTATTCTTGTAAAATTTTTGTAAAATCAACGGTTTTCGAGTTATTTAAGAAACAAAATTTTAAATGGCCGCCATTTTGTTTTATGAATTTTAAAAATCGTCATAATTTTTTGGTAGCTTTGTCTAGTTGTCATTAATGTTTGTGCAAAGTTTCAATTTCGTATGTTAAACCATTCCATAAAAAAAAATTAATAACTTAAAAAAACAAAATGGCGGCTGTGTGAGTAACTAAGGACTTCCGGAAAATTGAAATATGATATTTAGGTATGTTAACTACCCAGGAACAATGCCCTAAAATATTGGTAAAGAGTTCCGGACACCCTGTATAATTAATAGTAGTGATATACAGGGTGTTTCAGAATGAGTGTCGGATATTTTAGGGTATTATTCCTGGGTAAGAAACATATCCAAATATCATGTTTAAACAGTCCGGAAGTCTTTATTTACTCAAACAGCCGCCATTTTGTTTTTTTTTCTTTAATATTTTTTTAAAAGAGAATGGTAAAACATACGGAATTGAAACTTTTCACAAACATTTCTGACTACTAGGCAAAGCTACAAAAAAATTATGAAAATTTTCCAAATACATAAAACAAAATGGCGGACATTTAAAATTTTGTTTCTTAAATAACTCAAAAACCGTTGATTTTATGAAGATTTTACAAGAATTACTTTTTTTAGGTAATTTGATTACAAATCCTTAATTTTTACAATTGGACGTATATTAACTGAGATATGGCAGTTTTAGTGAAACGTGACCACTGGAGGTTAGTTGTAGTGCATGCGGACTGCGGAGCCATGCATGTTGTGGCAGACTTTAGCCGCATGGCGCCGCATGCACTACAACTAACCTCCAGTGGTCACGTTTCACTAAAACTGCCATATCTCAGTTAATATACGTCCAATTGTAAACATTAAGGTGTCAATCGATTTGTTATAAAATTACCTAAAAGAAGTTATTCTTGTAAAATCTTCATAAAATCAACGGTTTTTGAGTTATTTAAGAAACAAAATTTTAAATGTCCGCCATTTTGTTTTATGTATTTGGAAAATGTTCATATTTTTTTTGTAGCTTTGCCTAGTAGTCAGAAATGTTTGTACAAAGTTTCAATTCCGTATGTTTTACCATTCTCTTTAAAAAAAATATTAAAGGAAAAAAACAAAATGGCGGCTGTTTGAGTAAATAAAGACTTCCGGACTGCTTAATATGATATTTGGATATGTTTCTTACCCAGGAATAATACCCTAAAATATCCGACACTAATTCTGAAACACCCTGTATAAATCATCCATTTAATATTCAATCTAAATTAGAGCCCTGAAAATATATTAACTGTTCATTCTATGTTGGAAAAAACTTGTTCACAGTAGTCTTCCTTGCAATAACAAACAAAAATGTGTTATTCAACAAGTATTGTTTCCTTAACCTACCTTGGGTTCATAACAAACCAATAGACCTTTTTATGTCTGGCCCTTGGTCTTTTTTATCAAACAGCTAAACATTTTAACTAGCATTTTAGGAATCACAATTATTACTTAACACCTATATAATTCTGTATCGCCCAGGTGGAGCCTCCGCTCAACCCACAAACAGCTCCCCCAGACAAACCAGAGCTAACTTGTATCTCAGAGGAAGGCATAGCAGACATGGATCTGCCAGACAATCTGCTGGACGATCTCGACTACATCGGAGACTGCATCACATCCTGCAATAAGGTATACACCCCCTTAATACACATTGTGCAAACACATCGAAGACCGTATCACATCCTGCAAAAAAGTATACACCCCCCCTTTCTCTTTACCACACATTATACAAACACTACATCAGAGACTGCATCACATCCTGCAAAAAAGTATACACCCCACTTACTACACATTGTACAAACACTACATCAGAGACTGCATCACATCCTGCAAAAACGTATACACCCCCCTTACTACACATTGTACAACCACTACATCAGAGACTGCATCACAACCTGCAAAAACATATACACCCCCGTTACTACACATTGTACAACCACTACATCAGAGACTGCATCACATCCTGCTAAAACGTATACACCCCCCTTACTACACATTGTACAACCACTACATCAGAGACTCCATCACAACCTGCAAAAAAGTATACACCCCCCTTACTACACATTGTACAACCACTACATCAGAGACTGCATCACAACCTGCAAAAACATATACACCCCCCTTACTACACATTGTACAACCACTACATCAGAGACTGCATCACATCCTGCAAAAACGTATACACCCCCCTTACTACACATTGTACAACCACTACATCAGAGACTGCATCACAACCTGCAATAACGTATACACCCCCCTTACTACACATTGTACAACCACTACATCAGAGACTGCATCACAACCTGCAAAAACGTATACACCCCCCTTACCACACATTGTACAACCACTACATCAGAGACTGCATCACAACCTGCAAAAAAGTATACACCCTCCTTACTACACATTGTACAAACACTACATCAGAGACTGTATCACATCCTGCAAAAAAGTATACACCCGCCTTACTACACATTGTACAACCACTACATCAGAGACTGCATCACAACCTGCAAAAACGTATACACCCGCCTTACTACACATTGTACAACCACTACATCAGAGACTGCATCACAACCTGCAAAAACGTATACACCCCCCTTACTACACATTGTACAACCACTACATCAGAGACTGCATCACAACCTGCAAAAAAGTATACACCCTCCTTACTACACATTGTACAACCACTACATCAGAGACTGCATCACAACCTGCAAAAAAGTATACACCCTCCTTACTACACATTGTACAAACACTACATCAGAGACTGTATCACATCCTGCAAAAAGGTATACACCCGCCTTACTACACATTGTACAACCACTACATCAGAGACTGCATCACATCCTGCAAAAAAGTATACACCCTCCTTACTACACATTGTACAACCACTACATCAGAGACTGCATCACAACCTGCAAAAACGTATACACCCCCCTTACTACACATTGTACAACCACTACATCAGAGACTGCATCACAACCTGCAAAAACGTATACACCCCCCTTACTACACATTGTACAACCACTACATCAGAGACTGTATCACATCCTGCAAAAAAGTATACACCCTCCTTACTACACATTGTACAAACACTACATCAGAGACTGCATCACATCCTGCAATAAGGTATACACCCGCCTTACTACACATTGTACAACCACTACATCAGAGACTGCATCACATCCTGCAAAAAAGTATACACCCTCCTTACTACACATTGTACAAACACTACATCAGAGACTGCATCACATCCTGCAATAAGGTATACACCCGCCTTACTACACACTATACAAACACTACATCAGAGACTGCATTACATCCTGCAAAAAAAGTATACACCCCCCTTACCACACATTGTACAAACACATTCCAACTTGAATGTTATTTCAAAATATTTATCTTAATACAATTCCACCTCATGAGTATAATATTTTCCTTCCAAACCTTCTACTATCTTTTGTTTGTTTTTATCAAAATGTCCAACTTTGATTAAACCAAATATTTTACCACCTTGACTGGCTCTTGTGATGAGAAGCAATCTAGTTCTAGTGTTACATCTTTTTTACTGTCTTTGCTATTATTCTAGCCAGTCCCCACATCCATTTGATCCGTTCAATTTTATGATAGTATCTGTTAATTGATGCTAGCAGAGAAAAGCAAATTACCAAATATTAATTAATTCTAATTGTCTTATGTGGTATCCATTACCAGATTGTAGTTGTCTAAAAATAAAAGTTATGTTTTTAGGAAAAAGCATTTGGCTGGGATTAAATAAATATATAGGATGGAGAGGCTAACTCGCAACTGATGAAAGGCTGCAGACGAGTCAAAGAACACTTAAAACTCCATCCTATATAATTATTTAATCTAAAAATAAAAGTGTATTTGATGTAAGAAATTAGTGTCAGTAATTGAAGGGGTTATGAGTAGGATTATATTTGAACTAGCTCCCTACATTGTTTTGGAAGCTAGTTCGAGTAGTACAGTCAGCCCTGTCCAATGCCTTAAAATCATTTTCTAGCCATACCTAACTTATCAATCTGTTTCAGGTGGAGAACTACTTGATGTTGTCGGAGTTTGAGAATAACCTGATAGCGGAGATGCCAGTGATCATGGACCGCAAGGGCCGGCGGTGGTCCCTGGCACGACAGGCGGAGGAGGAGGCACCGCGAGGCAAGTGGAGACTGGTGCCGGGGCCTAACAGGCTTATCACTGTCATAGATGAGGCCTCTGTCTAGCACTAGGTCTGATGATCACACACACACGCTCGGAGGTAGTCTCAATTCTCACTCCATTGTCAATGAAAATCCTTCTATCATTGTCACCATCACTTTGGGTTGTTGATAATATGTTTATATTGTGTATATTGGGTTTTCTTTTTTACCTAATTGATATTTTTTTCACTTTTTAAGGGCAATCTCCAAACCCTGATGCAATAGCATCATTAATACAGCCTAATGGCAAATGGCAAATGAGCTCAGAAATGTTCCAGTCGGGATTGAACCAGAAACCTTCAGATTTTAAGGCAAGTAAAGCACTCAGCTATCCAGATAAATAACCAGATAATGTTGATAAATGTTTATATTTGATACACAAATTTTGTAAACTACAAAATGCACTACAAAAATGATCAAAATATAGATGTTTGTATCAATATTGTTAAGTGTAAGGATAAAACACACAATTAATAAAATTGAAATCCTTGTAAACATACTTGTGATGAAGTTGTCATTGACAATATTTATTTACGAAATAAAAAAATACATACTACATATACACTTTATTTCAAAGTGTAATTTTAATCCAAAATGTTATTGGTTACATGAGAGATTTGTAATATTGAAATGGTGAATATTAACTCTACTATATAAATTTCTTAACCGTACAAATTGTAATAATACCTGCTCAAACTCTTTACAATTATCATATAAAACAATTTTAAAATTCCCGAAAAATATTTAATTTAATTTGATTTTCCTTTCTCCAACCATTAATTAGCATCCCATTCTCCAACCAAAAATAATTCAGTATACGTCATATCCCAAAAAAAAAACTTTTAGGTGACTGAATTCAAGAGTAAACACAACTTTTTACATTATTTATATTTTGAGTCAGCCTGAATGTAAACTACGTTTAAGTAATTAAATTGTTGGGTATGGTTTAGCGGTTTGTTCTACATGATGCATTCACTATGAATAACATGTCAATTCATTTTCAACGAACTTTGTGATTTTCATGACTTTTCAATGTTTTAATAAATAATCAAACACAAGTTTAGAATGAAGGACAATATTTTATCCAATTATTCAATAAGAGTTATAAATATTTGCCAATATCTTCGAGTGTGTGTGTGTGTGTGTATTGAAGAGTCACTGCCATAAATAATCAAACTATTTACATGATTATCTGTTGTGAAATGCTATTGTATTTCAAACTAGGACAAGATTTCTTAAAAGAAAAAAAACTTGCTAGATAACTCAAATCACCAGTTAGGACTTTATTGAAGGAACAGATTGGTTGTAAAAAATGTAATTAAACATGATTAAGAAGTAAGAGTTAAATAATTTAATCTACAATATCTACTATCAGAGTTTTTAGAATCATTCTAAGCTCCTTAAAGTTTTTTCCGAATTTTTTGGTAATTTTAATTTAACATTTTCTGTTGTCATTTAAATTGGTATATCTATGAACTTCCCCCTAAGTCTAATAATAGAAATATTATTTCGTAAAGATTGAAGGACTTAATCTAGTTTGAAATACAACATTACAAATCGTCCGGAGACAGATGTTGTGATATGAGTGCATTAGTTTAAAGGATAATAATAAAAGTATTGTATTAGTTTCTATTTATATTTATTGTACATTGTGTAGATTATGAGTGAAATGGAAGCAGGGAAACTGGGTTTGCAGTTTCAAATTGTATAGATATTTATCAATTAGTAATTTATTTACTCACTAGATGTGATTAGAGTTTGGGGAGCTACGTTTATAAGAGTGTTTGTATATTTGTAAAAAATGTAGGAGTGTATGGTGTGTTAACTTACAAGGATAAGAGAAATTTGTATTATTGATAATATGTTTTAGATTCTGTATAGATCTGACTTATTGTGGTTAAGTTTTTGTTTGTATATAGCTGGATTGTTACGTTTGCCGTTAAATACTAACCGCAGTAAAAAAAGAGGATTTTTTGTTGATAATATACTTCGTGATATTTTAATAAAATATTTGATAGAAGTTTAAGTCAAGCTTTAAACTATACCCTTAATCTCAAAACCTTACTGAACATCAAATTTAAATTTAAATTAGACTTTTAAATTTCAGTTGGTTTGTCAAAAATATAATACCTAATTTGGTTATTATGTATCTTGCATCACAAATTTACAGCTTCTTACTTTTGCCTTAGTTTATTTTTACTCAATGATTATTTATATTTTATCACAAATTTTGTATCATTAATAATCCTCCAATTTTTTTTAAATTTTGAGTCAAACTATATATTATTGCCATCAAATGAGGCATTTTTTTAGTTAATCGTTGTCCAAAATATTTGCTCAAAAGACTTAAATTGTATTGGTGCTTTTAAATTTAGATATTTATTTTTGAATCTTATTTTTATTTAAAATGTTAAAACTGTTTGTAAGAGTAAAAGTATAACTCTTTGGATTCCGTGATCCCTGGTTCCGTTTCAACACGCTCAGTCATCCCTGTGCGTTTCATGGTTACTATGCTACGTTAGATTAGGTATATTCGTAAGTAAACACAAGAATAATTTTATAATGTGCATACTTACAGACCAGTGTCTTAGTATTCATTCATAGAGTTTATTACACAACTTCTTACAGTGTTCTAGTGGGTAAGGTTGTATGAACCATATTATTTTTGGTACTGTAAGTGTTTTTGCAGAACATTGATAAGACTGGTAAAGTGTGAGATTCACTCATCTACATGTCCCCTTATTTATTTCATCTACATTCATAGTTTTGTTGAGTTCAGTATTACTGTGACTGCCATGCAGTGGTTGTTGATTATAGCGCTTTTTATGCATAATGAGGAAATTGTTATTAGTTTTTTACATCAGTTTGAACACATGTTGATCATACTGCCCGTTTATACAACTATGTGTAATTAAAAACTTGTAAAATTTACAAAACAGTGTTATTCAGATTTTTTCACTTCCTAACAATGAAAATTTTTTACAAAAATACCCCCACCGCAGCAAACCTGCAGACTAAGCGAATTTCCATTACCCTGATTGGATTTACACTAAAATGCCTCCATAAAAATATCACATTTATTTCCTACTAGCTGGCTCAACAGACGTCCTGTCCTAATATGGTTTTATGTCAAATGCTCGTTCATTTTCAAGATGAGCTCCTTCGCATGGCTCAATCACGTCCTGGTTTGAGGTTCGTTCGCTACGCTCACTCACCTTTCGGTTGGAGCTCGTTCGCTGCGCTCACTTGCCTTCAGTTACATTTGACAACAAATATTTGTATAAAACAAATGGAATAGAAACCTACTTGATAGCTCTCATTTGTTATGCATAGATTTGTTTTAAAAAATTAGGTTATCATTACAACAGCTATTTACTTAATTTAATTTGGTCAAGAAATGACAAACATGGCATGGTAAACAAAATAAAACATTCTTCCATAAGATTAACATGTAAACTGCAAAGGGCCATAGGACGCTTCCCTTAAGGATTTTTGAAACGGAAACAGGCTATTATGTTATTCTAGAACCTAAGGAATATCCCTGTAAATTTTCATGCCAATTGGTTCAGTAGTTTTCTAGTTATAAACGCTGTAACTAACACAACATTCTTTTACATATTAAGATTTAAATAGAATTAGTTTAACGAGTACTTAGGTTTCCTGCAACAGGGAGGGTAAAAAGTGTTTGTTTTTTTAATGTTAATAGTTTAGTAAGAAATAATTGTTTTTTCCAAATTCGATCAAAATATGTTCATAAACAAGCAAACTACAACAGCCACATATTCTCCATAAGAATAACATAGGAATTTAAAATTTAGGAATAAGGAAATTTTGTGTTTTTAGGGGAAAAAATGGGAAAAACCTATTTTCCCCCCATAAACCCCCGGTCCCATAGTTTGATCATGCTGGTTCGCGAACTCGTTCAAATAAATGTAGGTTTACACATTTGTACCAAATAACATCAAAATCGGATCATTTTTGCTCGAATTATTGTGCTAACGGACACATATCTATATCTATAAAAGAGGAACTATGTATGTATGTATGTGTGTGTGTATATACTTTATGGGTCTCCGAAACCGCTCGACAAATTGTAATGAAACTCTTAGGCATTATTAAGCATCTTTAAAGGATGGTTCGAGAGAAGTTTGGTGCAGATCCGTCAAAAGGGCTCTGCCCCAGAGGGTTTTAAGTGGGCCAATGTCAGACTTTTTGATCTACAATGTTTACAAATAAATATAATTTAAAAGCAGATGTTTACTTTCACCAACTGTTTTGTAGGTTTGAATAATCACAACATTCTGTATTAGCATTAGTCATGATTTGAAATAGTGCCACAGTGTTTCTACAGAGTGCAGAACAGAAAGCTATTTTACTTTTGAATAAGTCCAAATGTATTAAACCCCAATCGCAGTACACCTGTGCACTCAACAACGTTTAAATTTTCCAATGTTTAATATTAAAAACATAAAAACCTTTATCAAAGTATTATAAACAATAAAAGGGATGACTTTTTAAAATTTATGACAACAGCTAATTTGAAACCAAAAGGTGAGTGAGCGTAGCGAACAAACTTAAACCTGGAGGCGGATTAGCGTAGCGAACGAGCTAACCTGAAAACAAGTGAGCGCAGCGAACGAGCTCCAACCTAAAGGTGAGTGAGCGTAGCGAACGAACTTCAACCAGGACCTGATTGAGCCATGCGAATACTTATGAAGTTAAACGGGGCAAAGCCCGTGGGCACAGCTAGTATATATATATATATGAATTTGAACGGTGTTTTTGGCCTCTAGGGACCTCAAAACGAAAAAGTAAATCGGTCCCGGGTCCAGGTCTTACCATGAGTACTACAGTAATACCCTTTATGGGAAATTCGCTAAATTAAAACTAAGCGATTAAATTTTTACCATACTTGATTATTTTTAGGATCTCTATATTTTCAAACGTAAATAGCCAAAAAATATACAATTTCCTTGAAAATCAACCCCAATTACTAACAACCTACTACATTTATAATTCTTGACAAAAAGAGATATTGGACCCATATAAGTTTAACTGTTGAGGCTAGAAGTCAATACATGTTTTGTGGCGTTTTGTAATGTTGTGTATGTTGTTGAAATCTGTATAAATCTTCTGTCTGAAAAATTTGGGACCTTCGTTATACAGAGTTTAATCAAAATATTAATAAATTATGGCGACCCACTGAACTGTATACCAATGGTAAGAGTACGTGCTTGAAATATTGCTCTTCCCTGATCCAGTGCTGAGTGATTTATATGTGGCACTCAGCTATCCCATTGTCAGCAACAATTTATTAGATATAAATGTCATATGGGTTCGAAGATGGCATGAGGGGCGAAATACACTTATTTGCAATAATAAATCAACACAGATCGCTGTTTTATTCCACTTTCTAAATTAAAAGATTGATACAGGTCTAAAGTCCTCCATTAAACTCCGAAATTGTTATTGATTATTGATGTGCTCTGTCTTTTGTGGATCTTGGTTGAACTCTGTCCCTCCTATATAATGTTATGTTCCATTGAGTTTGCACATTGTAAGAATTTGGATATTTTGCAATCACTTTTCCAGGAAGACGTTCTCGTTTCCCTTTCTTGTATGAAAACGTCTTCACCAGCCTTCAATTCCTTGAGTTTATGTGATGATTTATCATTATATTGTTTTCGCATTACTTTATTGTTTCTCAGTAGGTACATTAAGAGATTCATTATTAGCAAAAAGAGGTATCAGTGTTTCTTCATGTGTAATCATACATAACTGAAACAGTTCTCGAGGCATGTTTAAAAAATTCTTGACGTGTTTTACTTGTTTACAGACTAATTAATTCCTTAATGTTTGTGTTGTCCAGTTTTATAGTCAGTAGTTTATAAAAGTACAGTCTCCTATAGTGGTTCTGTTCTTTATAATTTCAAACATTTTATTGTAACTGGTCGCCATTTTGTATTTGAATAGAAACTGAGTGAATTTGTTTTCCTCAAATGAGCCTTGATTTAGCAAACACCCATTCCATTATAAATTGAATTAAAATAACAAAGAGATCAAATATAATGTGTATGATGTTAAATTTGCAGCTCTTTGAGACCATAACTGAAGATTTTTGGGCAATGTTATTATAATTTTTTATGTTTTTTTAACTAGGAAACTTATCTAAAACATTCTTATATATATCATGAATGAAACACACTTTGCATTGTTAATAACCAACAATCTGTTCTGAATTAATCAGCATATTAATGTCACTAAATATCGGTTTGTGAAAAAAATCTCAATTGACTGTAAAGTGTAAATTTTAAATATATAAAAAACATTTATTACATTAAAAATATTTTGAGACTAAGTTAAATTTAAATCATCGAGTGTGGTTGGTAGTCGCCACCAGTTATTGTGAAACATTTTATTCCTTTGACAACAAAGTTATTTCTACAAGTTCTGTTTTGTTTATTGGGCCACACAAATATGTATGCTAAAGTTATTAAATGTGTGTTTTCAATTAAAATACTTCAGTTTGTACTTAAAAAAGCATTTTTATAATAATTGAAATATAATCTATTCAGCTAATCGGCAATATATAAAGTCAAAAGGTCAGTTTTATTTTTTAATTTTTTTGTCCTTACAGTAAGAACAGTTATAGTAGGCTACCATTTTATCAGGGCAAATTTTACTGTTTCAAAAACCAGGACCTTGTAAATTAGTACACAGATAGATAGTAAAGAGAATATGGAAAAGTTGGCATTGGTGTATTTGTTTGAAAAACACTGAGTGATATTATTAATTCAAAGAGACATATTTCATTACAGTTAAATATTACATAGTTAGTTGTATGTTAACGGTAACTACAGAATTTGATCTGAGTTCGTAACAACACTACTTTAACAACATCATGAACGACAATCATTATATTTTCACGATAGTCAAAGAACAACGCATTCTGTATTCCTAACTCCTCATCTTATTTGAAGAGTATAAACCAAAATGTTACAACTAATATACATCAAAAGATAGGGTACCCTTAACAGATTGATTAAAAAATTGAAATATTTATTAGTTCAGTAGAATTGGTATTTCACAATACTTAATGAATTTCTGATTTAACTTGTCTGGTCTTGGCGCCATCGATCTGATTGGGTGGTTTTATCAAGAAAGTTGTTAAGCATGATTTATTCCTACGCCAGAAATAAAGAAATCACAAAACACTAAGTGTTTTATATTACTTTCGTTCCGTTTAGCATTTTATAAATATAATTTTGATCAAAAATTTTGAGTTTTTTAACGTTTGTAAGCAAACTGAATATTTATAATTCTGGCAATTTGTGTTTAAAGAATACAATTTGGAATATTTTTAACAAAAATTAACAATTAAAGTGGGAAACTAATTTAGAGGCTAAATTTATTGATAATAACATACATACCAAAATGAGTTCTGGGTTTTAAAAAATGTAGAATTTCATGTAATCTTTCAGAGCCTTGATAGAAGTGATAAAAGGTTCTGAGGTGTGTTACTGGCCTAGTAGTTAGTGTTCCGGACTTTGGTGCAAGAGGGGAACATCCACAAATACAAATACCATTTTTTCACTGCTGAAGAGGACCTGGTCCTATAACAGTCCGGTGGGTTTTTTGTTCTCTGAACTGAAATATCACAATATTTTTTTTTAAAAGGTTCTGTTGCAAAATACTTTTAGTTGGAGAAAGTTTCTCCAATCAACCTTGCTATATTAGAAGTTCTGGTTTTATAGCTACATCTAAATAGTTTTGATCTTAGGTATTTTTTTCCTTCTCTACAAAGAGAAATCCATAGCACTACAATTATACAATTATACAATTAGCCGCTAAAATTACATTATTATTTAAGAATTAAATATTTTGCCTAAAACATATTTATACAATATCACTCAGTGGGTATAGAATGTAAATTTTC